GAGCGCTGGCGCCGCCGGCCGGTCGGACTGGTCTCCGCCGGCCCGCTGGACGCGGCGCAACCGCTGCTGAGCGAACTCTACTTCCTGGAGCGCGCGCTGGCGCCCTTCACGGAGATCAGCCGCGGCGACGTGCGGCAGCTGATGGATCGCGGCGTCGCCGTGATCGCCATGCCGGACCTCGGCCCCTTGCCGCCCGAACAGGCGACTGCGCTCGACGCCTGGGTGCAGGAGGGCGGTCTGCTGCTGCGCTTCGCCGGCCCCCGGCTGGCCGAGAGCGACGACGGGCTGCTGCCGGTCGAGCTGCGCCGGGGCGGCCGTGTCATGGGCGGGGCGCTGACCTGGAGCGATCCCGCCGAACTGGCCCCCTTCTCGCCGGACTCGCCCTTCGCCGGACTGATGCTGCCCCGGGATGTCGCCGTGTCACGCCAGGTGCTGGCCGAACCGGCACTGGACCTGCCGGAAAAGACCTGGGCGCAGCTGACCGACGGCACGCCCCTGGTCACCGCGGAGCCGCGCGGCGAGGGCTGGGTCACGCTGATCCACACCACGGCCAACACCGAATGGTCCGACCTGCCGCTCTCCGGCCTTTTCGTTGAGATGCTGCGGCGCATCGTGGCGATCAGCCAGGGCGTCAGCGGCGCCAGCGAGGCCAGCTTGCCGCCGCTCTCGACCCTCGACGGCTTTGGCCGGCTCGGCACGCCGCCGGCCACCGCTCTGGCCCTGACGGCGGAGGCCATCGAGTCGGGCGAGATCGGCCCGCGCCATCCGCCCGGCATCTACGGTACCGACGCCGGGCGGCGCGCCCACAATCTGGTGGCCGGCAACCCGTTGCTGACCCCGATCAGGGCCCTGCCGCGCGGCTTGGAGAGCCGCGTCTACAGCGGCGGCGAGGAGCGGGATCTGCTGCCCTGGCTGCTGACCGCGGCCCTGGTGGTGGCTCTCCTGGATGCCCTGATCGCACTGGCTCTGCGCGGCCACCTCAGCCTGCGGCCCGGCAGTCTGCGCCAGGCCGCCCGGGGAGGCGCGGGCCCCGCGGCCGTCCTGCTGCTGGCCGGACTGCTGATCCTGCCGTCGGCGGCCGACGCGCAGTCGGGCAACGCACCCTCCGGCGACGACGACCTGCGCCGGGTCATGGCCGCGACGCTGGACACGCGCCTTGCCTACGTGGTCACGGGCGTGCCCCAGGTCGACGACCTCAGCCGCGCCGGCCTGTCCGGCCTGTCGCGCCTGCTGCTGCGGCG